AGCTAAGCAATGCATCAAGCTTGTGGGCTTGAGACTTCTGAGTCCGGATTCAGGATCCTCTAGTCCGTATGCACAGAAATGAAATTCTCCCCAGGTCACTGATGGATCTGAAAAGAGTTGCTGCGCGCAATGCGCATACCAGATCTTGGATGTCTGAGGATTTTCAATGATGAACTATCTTCTGTGCTTCAACTGATATCGCGCAATGGATGCGACGAATTGAGTTATTGGAATGTGTTGGTGTTGATGGATGTTCTGCATATTTGACCATGGTCGACAGACTGGTGCCACCAGGTGGTGCCATGAGGATGAGATCGGGCGTTGTTCCTTGATGATCTCCATGACCATGTGTCGTCCCTTGGATGTCATTGCGTCGTGTCGAAATCTGGCACTTCCTGCAAAGATCTCGAGAACGTGGATCTTCCCGTTATGTACAGAATTCCAGTGTGCCTCTCCAGGAATGGATGTCATGTCTTCCACGAACATGTTCTCTGCAGGTCCTGGTGCTGCAGAGTCGTCTTTCCAGCAACGCGTAATGGTTTGGAGGTTGGTGGCTTAGGAGTTGGTGTAAATAACAACTTCTTCTTGGAATCGGATAAGGATCCGCGTTGCTCTTTCTGCAAGGATTCTTGCTCATCTGGCAACAGAAGATCAATTCCGGTTTCCCCCGAAGGGATTGTCTCATCCTTCCTGACCTTTGTCATGTTGACTTTGATGAGTCGGGTCCCAAGGTCAAGTCCAACCATTGCTCCTTCCAAAGAAATGACTTTTCCCCTTAACCATATTCCTCCTTTCTTTCCGTCGGAACGAATCTTGGATTTGTCTTCCTGCCAGTAAAATACCTTGTCATTCATGTGTAGAGGGTTTGAGCTCATTCGGAAGTTCTGACTTTGACAATCGCTGGTGGGTTCTGCCCAATGCAAGCGGTTCGTCTACGGATGGTGCTGTAGGATCTGGCTCAATGGCCGACCGGCCTTTCTTGTCGATGATCGATCCTGTCTGCTGCAGATCCTGAACCTGATTCTTCATCTTTTAGCGGAATGTCTGCGAAGGTGAAAATGGTCTTACCTTCCCACAGGTTGATCATTGGTTTGTTCGCCTGGGATGTAAATTCCAATTGTCTTCTAAGATGTCTGGATCTCCGCCCTTGGATGCATCAATGATCTCTGTTGTACGTTCTCGGCTGATGTTGTCAGGATTGATTGGACATTTCTTCTGAACAGTGAGTGTCCAATGATGCTGCTTCAGAGACCCAATAGTTTTTGGAGTTTTTTTGTGTCCTCTTTTGTCTCGGATGATTTGGCTGCGCAAACAGTTTCACTCTTGGAGTAGTCCCCGGAGGGAAACTTGATGCTGTTGTCATCATCGTAGACATAGTTTGTGAGGCCTTATGCAGCAATCTCTCCATGTGATTGCACCCTTGCCACTCCAGCAAGATCGACCAGCGCGTGTCCCAAAAGCCTTGCATGTGATCTTGTCACATTGAGGTGCGTGCTCAATGGTCATCTAGAGGTTCCGCATCTGGCTGATCCTCCTCAGCCAGTGCCTTGTTCAAGGATCACATCGAACAAGCCTATCATCCTGATCCATTTTGGAACAGTCGCTTCCTGAGCTACGTGCAGGGCTACTACCAGGAATGCTCCACCATCCTCAACTTCGTTCCTGAACGTGAGAGAAAACAGGGAGACAAGGTTTTCTGGCTCGTGGCGCGATTCGATGCCTGGTGGTATCACCTTCCAAGGACATGGGCAACACACGGAGCGTGCACACATTTGTTGCCAAACCAAACCAATGCCGACGCGGATGATTATGGAACTGCTATCCTTCCGATGGTCAAGAGAGACATCCGACTCAATCCTGACGGATCCTGCGAGCTCTACCCCTCATTTTCTTGATGACTAGGTTCCGAAATATGGGAAATCCCGATTTGAAATCGCATTTGTGTTTCCAGATTATGATGGAACATATCAGGAACGAGAAAGGAAAGGCGCCATTGTACCCAAGAACAGGTGGATCGACAACCTTACATCCCAGGCAGCATACGACGCGCTCCGACCTGATGGAACAGCATTCTACAATGACAAGGAGATGAAACTGTATGTGAGATGCTGCAGTGGTCATTCAACTGAGCAGCAGGATCACCAACAACAAGAACCGGACTACGATCTCCCATCGTCAACACTCCACGAGCGTACCCATCCTTCAAGATCCAACAAGCAGCGTGCGGATCACGGCGCAACGCAGCCGAAGTATGGGATGAGACGACCGGTGCCTGAGTCCGCGGAACAGGAGAGAAAGATCAAGCCATTCGACAAGAAGCCAATCGCCTTTATGTTCCATGCGACCTACAACGACCAGATATACAACATCCTAGAACAAGGAATCAAGCCGGGAAAAGCTCGACCCCACGAGGGAGAATCCATGTCCATCTTGCAAGCGTTGACGACGTGGTCCTCGACGACGAGCCATCCAAGGCAGCTTTGACGCATGTGCCTGAAGAACAAGATGCCGAGGAACGCGCTGCACTATCCGAAGATACTATCGGGCCACAAAACATCATTGCGGCTTACGATTCCGAAGGACAGGAAATGCAGACCAATTACTGGACCATGAGGAAGAACCTGGACAAAGAATATTTGGAACAGTATATGGCTAAGATCCAAGAGTTCGTGCAGGATTTCTTCAAACATGTCAATGCAGACAAATCAGACAAGGACCAATCTCAGAAGAACACATCCACCGAGACCAAGAAAAGACGGCATTCCACTGACAGGGACGATGATGATGAATTAGGAACGAAACCCGCCAGGGAAAGAGTCGTCAAGCACAGGGTCACGATGGAGCACGTCAATCCTGACAATCTCGCCGAGTTCCACGAGGAATTCCAGCAGGTCTACCTCGACCGAGACATGAGCGAAACTGAAGCGGAAGAAGAACTCAAGATCGCCAAGGCAAGCTTCAGACTTCACGCAAAGGTATGAACAGGATCCTCAGAATGTCCACAAGGACCTCAACCAGTGTGAGATTGATTCCCTGAAGCACGTCGATCCTGACGCACACGTTGATGAGGAAGTATTCTACTTTCGCCACCGATTCGAACTGTTACTTGGACTGAAATCTCTCAGTCCCGATGTGATCAAGGCATATACGGACATCCTCGGATCCTTGATGCAAGCCACCGAAGGGCCAACGCATTTCTCGATCCCCAAGACGAAAAATGCCAGGAACTCATCCGTTTGTTTATCCTCACAGGATACAAGGGCATCGTGGTCAAATCCTGGTTTGCAAGCCCATCGCATGTTTTGTCCGTGGAAATGAGCACGCCAGAGTCGAACTCTTGGCAAGATACATCTCGACAAGATCCTAAAACTGGGGAACTACATTCGGAATGTTGAGATGTTTCTTCGGCACCGAGATCGGTTGTATAGATCCCGAGTATGACGCGCCAACTTTCGACTGCCTGGCAACATCTCACATGACAAAGGAGGTTGTCAAGGACTATGTCGGCCAGAGATTGCCACCACGCACTGCCATCCAGACATACGGGCGCAACAAGGAAATTGTGGTGATCCAGATCGACCAAAGTAACGAACTCCGAGGAGCATTGCCGAAGTCAACCGAGGCTCCGAATGCGGACTACGATAGTCGACACATTCTTCGAGCCGGACTTCCATACGCTACAGTTGGAGTTTTCCATATCCATCCGAATATCACTCATGGAGCAGCAAGAGAGGATTTTCAGAATGGAATCATGCCACTTGTTACGACTTACCAATGCGACGCAATCACTGGCGATGCCAACAAATCCGCCAACACTTACAGCAGATTGCAATGGGTCTATAATCCGGAGTATGGATTGATCAGCCGCATCATGCAGACATATCAAGACACATGGAACACGACAAGGGGGATGCCTATTGAAGAAAGAATGGATTATGCCATACTACAATTGTCACCATCTCTATATGAAGACTGGTTCTGGATGTGATCGAACATTTCTGGATTGTATGATGACATTTGCATTTGGATGGGGAAAGACCGACAGCCAAAATCGTTTCCGAAGATCCAAGATTGAGTCCATGGCCGGTGAGGAAAAGAAGACTATGCAGGACAAGACCTCGCTAATTATTTGCGACAACCAGGTAACATCAGCCAAGCGTCAAGCGCATCACCAACGAGATGTTCCTCAATGGCCCATGTGACGCCGATTCACACAGCCCGCTCATGGAGAGCCAAGGAGCACGATGAAGGGGAACAGTTGGGGAAGTTTCTGGCGATATAACAAGGCTTACGGCTACGATCAACCTGGATGGAAAGGCTATAGTTCTTTGACTTGGTATGACCGCGACTGCTACAGCCAATCTGAAACCAGCAACCATCCGTGGAAGCGATGAGATGCTTTCAGAAGCTCGAAAGAGAGAACAGCCGAGAACAGCGCCACGAATGCCGACCAATTGACCCTCACCATCAACAAGACTATTCTGTGAGAGATCAATAGTTTCACACCGATCCTGCATGTACATAGCGTTGCGCATCATCTTTTGATACAATTAGGTATCCGCAATGAGTACAGAGTTTTCTTTTCCGTTTGCCAACGAGGAAATTTCATCCGCGCCAAAAGGAATGAATGAATACAGTATTTGAATTCTGACCAGATACATATCTATCTATGGCTACGGCACACACTTGAACGGCTACGGTCAAAAGGCCAAGAAGCCAATAGCAGTTCAGTGTTGGAGATCAAAAGAAATTTGTGTCGGTTTTCTGTTTGATTTTCGGACTCATTGATCTCCATGCAACACCATTTTTGGCCCAAGGCCTTTCATGTCACATTCAGGTTGCCGCAAGGTATCCGTTCCCTTTGGGGATAAGATACGCCTGGCAGTGGGCCTCACCCCTCCCCCCCCCAACCTCCCCCCCTCCCCTCCCCCCAGTGATTCCCCGAGTCCCCCGCGCGCAGAATGAGTTCTGCGGCTTTTCCGCGCATTCGGCGAGCGAAGGCCGGGCCGGCACCGCGGTGCCGGTCTCGGAGGACCACAAGCCCACGCGCATCGATGAGCCCGGGGGCTTGGGCGAGACCGGGGACGGGGCCTGGAGTCCGGCGTTTGGCAACTTGGAGAGTAATGCTCGGGTAAGGGATCACGAAATGGCAGCAACCCATGTGCAAGTCGAGTGGTCCGTCCACTAAGATACCTGACTGGGGAGTCGTTGCAGGCCACTTTGCTCTTAGGGACTCTCTGGGTTCCGTGTCAAAGGGCAGGGGGGTTTGGACCTTCCAAAGGGCTTGGAAATCCGTTGGAAGCAAAGCCCAGGAAGGGTTGCTTGAGAAACGCCCCAACATAGGTCTTGTGCTTGCTGATTCGGAGGCTAGAGCGTCGCTTGCCATGTCCGCATGCGCCAGCTTCATCGTTCAGGGTTCCATTTCTTCCCCTTTGGTTTGGCACGTCACCTCAACATAAAGAGAGTTTGCCTTTGGCGAAGCGCCATTTAAAGCTGAAATACTGTGGGTGGACGAAATCCTGCACTTCCTAAGAATCCCTGGCATGATGATTCCCTTGCAAACACCAGCAAACAGTGGGTTTCCCATGGTTTCAAAGTGGTGCGAACGGATTTCGTCCATCCGCGGTATGGTGTTTTGTTTCTCAGGTCGGCGCCTTGGGCCGAAAATCACCCATGTCAGAGGGCTGCAAACAAAGGCGGTCAGACGTGCCGAGCTTTGCGGCCAGGAAGAAGCGCATCGAGCGTGTTGGGGGCCTCGTGCTGCAGGTGGGCTGCGTGTGCCATGGTCCCTCTGAAGCAACACGTTCAGGTCCGTGAATCTAAGAGACTTGAAAGCACCGGATCAAGCAGAGGTCCTTCGATTCATCAATCTGGTGCACTCAAGACGATACTGAGATGCCAGTGCCGATGGCCATTTTGGCCTCGGGGCGAAACAAGCTGCTGGACTTGTCGCTTCGAGTTCAGCCTTTGGCGTGTACGACATGGGTTACTCCGGAAGGCGAGCACCTAGTTTAGTTTGGCCGGTCCTTTGGATTTTTAGGCTCAACATTGCAACAGGACGAGACTCCGCCAAAAGCGGCACCTTAGACTTGCAGCCCAAATCAATCCTTTGAGTCAGGAGAAGTTCTATGCCCTTTTTCCACGAGTCCTTGTTCTGATCAATTCCAATCGCGCCCATCCTTGTCCAACTATGCGGTGGCTCTGAAATGGAGACGAAAACAGGTACCAAAAGGTGGCCGTGTAACCACAGTCTCTCAGCTGGCTGTGGGTCACAAATAGGTAGCCAAAACGGAACCATGGTAAATGGAAACATTGACTAAAACCCGCGGTCCCCTGTTCTTTGCTTTTTGTTTTCTGACCCATACCCAGCTAGCTGCGATACTTTTTTTTGCCGTCGAACAAAGTCTCCTCTGGCCAACTCCACGCCAGGTGCGCGGCGCGTGGCGCGTGGCCACCTCGACGAACCCCAATTCCATGAACAAGGCCGCGAGGCGCGAATACCAGGCGCGGCTTCTTTTCGCTCGTGGGGCGAAAGCGCCAGAGATACCGCTCAATTTCCTGTGCTTTTGTCGGGATGTTCCAAGACTTACCCTCTCCCCCACTAACATGGCGGCTGACAGGGGGTCCCTTGAAAAGGACATTGATCTTCCAGGTACCCTCCCACACAAGATGCTCTGTCCGAGCGCTTCCCCCAGGGCCTCGCCATGACCAGATCCTTCGGAGACCTGCCGGGCCCTGTGATCGGGGTCTTCCCCTGGCAGGGCTGGTACTCTGCATAACCTGGAGCGCACAACGGGAATCCCCCAGAATAAGATTCTAAGATGCGTGGCTTTTTGGGTGCCGGGTCAATTTGCAGGCAGGCAGAAAGTATGTTATCACTGTTCTACCCACTTCCCACTTTGCCCTTCTGTTTGGTGGGCTTCCAACAAAACGGGTGAACCCCTTCCAAAGTGTCCAGGTTTTGGCCGCGCGACCCCGTCCGAGGCACTTCAAGCGGCCCATTGGCCTGGCCATTGCGGAGCCTGAGGTGCAGGTGATCTCGCTCTCTGACAAGGCCCAAGTTACGGACTAGGTCCCCCAGTACTGCCCTTTTACCCTTTTTTGGGGGAGGGTTCCCCTACTAAAATAGATTACAGAAAAAGGGTACCCTTATTCTAACCTCTCTACTGGCGGACCTAGCGGATGTTCCTTGCTAGATGTCGCGAAATAGGTACCTTGAGGTCCAGTTAGGAGCAGTACCCAGCCAGTACCCCAACGAACTTTGGTTTACTTAGAACCCTGGCTACATCCGGTTGCGGAGGCAGAGGGATTGCCGGAAGCGAAGTTATTGCTTCTCCAGCCGGCTTCGTACCCTTTCCCCGGTTCCATTTCCCTGGTAGCAAGAGAAACACGCTCAGAGGGAAAAGGATGGCTGGTTCCCATGGGATTTACGTAAGCTATTGACGATGCGGCGCAGGATCTGTTTATCGTGCTGGCGACTGACGGTGTCTTCGACGTGCTGGGCAACCAGGCCGCCGATCCAACCCATGCGGGGGGGTTTTGGGGGGGGGGGGGGGGGCGGGTTGGGGGTTGGGTGCTGCTGGGCTCAGTGTATCAACCTGGGTCCAGTAAAGTGGCAAGGCATTTTGAGGTCTCGGTGGTTTCCCTCACGATTTGGGACGTAGGAGCACTCCAGCCAACTGTATCAGTGGTTCTGAAAATGCTGGACCCCCTTTTTTCCGGCCCTTGAGGGGAATCAAAAGGAAGCCAACCATTAAGGGACTGCTATTATGCGTGAGAGCTGAACAAGAAATCCGGTGATGGACAGTCTTCAGTCAAGGAATGCGGATTGCGGAAAGCACGCGCAAGAGATGCTGGCTGTCCCAACAGCATATTTCATGCGGTGAGAACATCCTGTGTCACGAGAACTTTTTTACCCCCGCCTGCAGGCTCGACTCCCCCTGGACCGCCCGCAAGACTCTTTGCCGCTCTTGTCTCCACACTTCTGCCTGCTCTTCTTCCTCTTCGCTCCGCGCCGCGCTCTTCTCTCTGCTATTCTCCCCACTATTGGCTGTGCCGCTCCGCTCTCTGCGCTCTTTTGCTCAGTCTTCGCTTCACTCTTTTCTCAGCTCTTCTCTCCGCTCTTCTGCCAACTCTTCTCTGCACCCCTTCATTCCGCCCCTCGCTTCGCTCTTTTCTTCATTCCGTTCTCGCTCTTATGCGCTCGGATAAAACTCTGACGCTTTGCGCATTGTTCCTTGACATCGATGTTTGCGCAGAGGATGCAGGGCTGAAGTATTCAGTGTTGTTGTTTGTTGCTGGGCCTTGTGCGCTGGCCTGTCAGGAAGTGATTGACCTGGCCATGCGGCCGGGGACTCAAATGGGTTGGGAACTGATACATGCGAGCGCAAAGAGTATGGCCAGGCCGTCTCGATTAACCAGAAAGCAAATAACGATAGCCCAAATGGGCCCCAGTTGAGAGAAGCGGATTACTTTTGGGTTACACACCTCTCTAATAATCCACCAGATTGGTTGATTTGAGGTCGACATTGGGCACATTTGTTTGGGTCCCTCAATCTATGTATTCCCCCCCTCCCCCGCAACCTGGACATGTCTCTAGTTCATGTCCGACAAGCTGCCTTACTTGCCTTTCTTTTCCGGGTTTGGATGTGCTGTACATGTTGATGCCTGCTTGTCCCGAATTGCAAGCGCTGACCCTCAAATCCCAGCTGGTGCAGGGTGTGTCTATTCTTCAGACACCCCAACGTAACAGACATGCAGCGGATTCCCTTGAAAATTTCAATGGCGCGATAGATTCCGGGGTTTGATTGTTCCCTGCTTGAGCTTGAATGCAAGCTGTCTGCAGCAAAACCAGAAACCCAACGTGACAACTTGCATGTTTTGCGACCCCAGGTTTGAGTTTATAACGCAGGACCCCCAAAACACCCATTCCAGACCGAAGCGAAAGGAGTTCCTGCATCTGCAGACTCCCTTTTGGGCCTTTCAGTGAGGCCTTGGTGCCTGCACGTACGGGATAAAGCGAAGGTGAGCGGGCATTTTTGGCAACAGGTGGTCCTTCGGTCACCCAAGCAAGCACATATGTGGACTGGCTAATGAAGTTCTGAGAAATCCACCGCTTTGCATCTGACTCGTGCGGGGTTTATGTCTGATACATCCAGTGTAATTTTGCGCCAACACTGGAACTCTGAACTCCGACCCTCGACTCCCAGTGCACAGCAGGCATCATCCGCACTATGGTTCTAGCGCTGTTTCACGATTTCGCTCACCCAGATAGAATGATGGCAATGACCTCGTAGATTCACCTGGTTTACCAGCTTCCGGAAATTCTACAGGAAGCTACCCAGCAACCACCCAAACCTTGGTTTTGGGTTGCATTTGACAGCATAATTTTGCTGGTGTCGCTGGTTTCTATACACGTCGGGCCTTTCCATCAGTGCCGTTTCGTCCGCGCTGGTGCGAGGCACTGGCGAGAGCCAGAGGAAGCAGCAAAGAACATTGTGCGATCCGCCTACAAGCGTCCGGGAGCTAAGCCTCGAAGGAACCCCCCCCCTTGCCGAAGACAAAAGAGAATCACCGCTCACAGCTTGAACACGCTTCGAGGGAAGCCTCGGGGAGCCAAAATCAAGCGAACGGCAGAAATGGCATCCACTCGTGCCAAGAAGGGCTCTCCAACTTCTGAGCTCGTGCCGCCATGTCCAGCCTGAGCCGCTTTTGGTTCAAAGCCGGCAGGATGTTGAGGGAAGCTCCCTCTCGCACCAGACAAGTCCAAGTCCCCCCCCCCCCCCCAAGACGTGAGTCTTTGCTTGGATGCCAAGCTTCTCGGGGTTGGCGGTTGATCTGAAATCTGCCCCTGTACTAGCTGGACTTGACTCTTGGCGTTGTAAAGGCATAGAGTCCAATCTTGCATATTCGTTGCGTGTCACATGACTGTGCTTCCTCCCGTCACTGTGCAAGTATCAGATGCACAGCAGTGGGAGTTGAGCTTGCCTTGATCAAGACATGGCCGGCAGGAAACACATGGGAAAGAAGCGGCCCCCAAAAACGCTCCTCCTTGGAAACATGTGTTTCAGATCAAGACAACCAAAACGGCCCCCCCAATTTGAAGCCCCACCCCCCGCGCAAAAAAGAAGTTTTGGGCTTCTAGTGCGCTTCTTCATGTCCTGGCCTTGGCTTTTGATGGCGCTGACAAGCATTTACCAAAAGCTTTAGGAATCAAACTTGGGTACCCTTTGCGGTTGTTCTTGTTTTACCGAGACACCAACGGAAGCCTAAGCCCATTTCGGGTTCCCCCGATAAGACACATCCACATCCAACGTCTCAGCCATGCGGTTTCACCCGCTGGGCAGGCGGCTCGGAGGACAACCTCACGGTGATGGTCGTCCAATTTGGTGGGATGCACCAGACACGCACCATGTGTCGCCGGCAGTGCCAAAGAACCGAAACATGGGAAGCGAGAAGGTGGCCATGCGTTTTGAACATGCCGAAAGCTTTCTGCATTCGAAAGAAGCCTTTTGGCACTGCTAGCTGAGAGCGAGAGAGAGGGACAGACACTTGAGAAGAACGTACCCTAGCAGCACAGCCTTGACACTCACGCGCGATGCCATTGCCTTTACTTGCCCTAAAGTGGTTGACATAGGCCAGTGTCGGGTCAGACGGGCTGATGGTCAGCCACAGCAAAGTCTAGAGGGTTGTTTTGCTTCTGGTTTCCACTGGACAGTAGTTTGGCTGTTGCGGGGTGATTGGGCTGCTTGGAAACTCTGCCGTGTGTGGCACTCTGGAGTTGTTGCCACAAGTCAGGTGAAACTGTTGCTGCTCGCTGAGATTACCATGTTTCATTTGAAGCAAGTCCTCAACTTGCTCATAAGACTAGTTTCCAAGATCTTGCCGCCCTCTTTGCTTCCACGCTCGCGGCACGGCCGCCGGCACGTAGGTTGGGCAGACAAGAGTGTTCCCAAGTACCTGGGCAAGACAGGCCGGAGGGCAGGATGGAATCTGCACGGTTTTTGCCGTGACAGCACCTTTCGCGCGGGTGAGAGGGCCGAGGGCCGGGGATTCCTGGAAGGGCAAGAGCTCATGTTCAAAGTCGGGATGACACCAGAACGGAGCCTTGCCAAGGATTCTTTGACTGTACAAGCACCTTCTGACTTCAAACATGGCCTGTATTCACAAGCAAGCATCAGTACTGGATGTTTGTTGCGCTTGACTACAAGCCGAAGTCGACGTGCTAGAGCCGAGATGTGTGCTTACAATCACACAGGGGCAGTCTGTCGACTGGCTGGGCAGGGTTAACTACAAGAGCTGTTGAACAGGGGGAAGGGGCTTTGTTTGGTCAAGGCAAGCAGCTGCTCGGACACACATACACACACACACAACGATTTGGTTTTGGATGCCCTGCCCTGCGCTTGGAAAACACATTGCGGTCCAGCCGGCCGCACAACTGTCAAGGCTTCCGACAAGTCCCCAGTGCATTTGTCAGGGGACCCTAAGCGGTTTTAATGAACGGGTTCCTGCTTGCACCAAAGGACTGTCAAGTGTGTAGCTTCCCAGAACCCACTTGGTAGATCCCATTTGGGGATGCTTGGCAAAGTCTTGCATTTGTTATTATGTTGCAGTGGAGCACCCCTCTTTGCCAAGCCACCAGCGGTGGACGTCTTGTTCATGGACGTCCCAGTCGCAGAGTGGGTGACACGTGCTGGTGATGGCAGCATTTTGCTTCTCACCATGGTTGCGCACATTTGGCGTTGTTGCCTCATGCCGACAGGTTTGTAAGCACCATGAAATGCATGTCAGGGAGTCATGCTACGCACGGGGAAACAAGCTGCCTTTTGAGCTTAGCTTTTTGTTGCTCAGTTTCCATTGCCAAACTGTTGGTCACAGACCCTGTGTTTTTTTGGACATGTTTCAGGAAGCCTTGTGCGCTTTCATCCGGCTGGCACTACAACAAACATCAAGCACTAGGAGTGTCGGGGCTTGAAAGGCTAGCCCTTTCAGAACAGTCTGAGTGTCTTCGCAGCTCGATGGTTTCCCGGTTTTGATGTCCCGCTCGAGCCACGGCTGCCTGGGGACGTGCAGCCCAGCACTTCTCACATTTCGGCTACAAGATGGGTGTGTGTCGGAATGAAGAACCCCCTTTTTGGGTGGTTTTGCAAGGGATACCAAAGTGGAAGCGTCTTTGAGGGGCCCCTGATTTTGACACAGCCATGTAGCCCTCAACGGACATCCGTTGGATGTCCCTGTAGCCAGTAGGCTGTCGCGTTGCATCGGGATACGGCGCAAGGCCTCCGCCATTTGGGTAACTTGTTTGGCAGTCTAAGATGGGATCTTATGGCTTTTTATGGCTTGTCAAGTGCCTCGACGCCCCAGGGGTTTCGTGGATTGGGGGAAGCATGCACCATGGGAAGCGGTGTTTCGCTGCTCGCTTTGAATTGAGCTTTGAGGTCTTGGGATAGGATGCTAACAGAGAAGCTGTGCATCCGCAGTCTGAAGAGCAGACAATCGGAACGCTGAGAGGGGAGGACAGGGAGATGCTGAGGCTAGCTAGCGATGAAATTTGATGGCAACACCCTCAATAATGATGGACATTCCTATGGAGGGCCAAACGTATATGCTTGCCAGCCGGGCATGGGGCTTCTGCTCTATGCTTGAATCGAGCTAGCATGGAGCATAGACTCATAGGTTCAGCAGCGCAGAAGGTACCAGGCTCCAAGCATGAGGTCTGAGCAGAGCTCATTCTAGCGGTCAACGGCGGGTATGCCACCTCAGGGCCCCCCCGTTTTGGGGTTATGTGTAGCGCCCCTTGTTGGGGGTCCGAGACAAGATCCGTTTGACCATCCCCCAGCCAAGAAAGGGGCGAAGAGAGCACCAGTCCAGTGCATCCCATTCACCAGGGCATGGAGCAGGAGAAGGAGGCGGGGCGCGGCCTCTGAAACTTCGGTGCGAAGGAAGAGAACCCAGTTTTCTGATGATGTGGTTTAAACACCGCCTGTTTTCTGATGATTGGACACCCACATTCGCGCGCGAGCGTCGCAGTCTCATCAGTTTGGTTTTCAAGTTCCCATCAATGAGTTAAACTTTTGGTGTGATGTGTGGGGGACAAGGAAGGAACCTCGTGGGCAGTTGCCAAGCCTGGGTTGCAGCGCGCAAGATGTTTGGGGCCCCAAAGCTGCCAAACTTGATCAACAGGCCAGCCTGGGACGTGCTCTTTGGGTTGAGCTCAGCGTAGAATGTCCAATCAGATTGTCATCCGAAATTTTGCCTTGCGGTCTATTATTATAGCTGGCACTGGGCTTAAGGACCAGCTCTCGCCTTCATATATATCTCAACGGATCGCTGTCACCCTATTGCATATTTCGTCCGCACAAGTAACAAATGTATGATGCGACCAAGCCACCCTGCAACACTTACAGCGCGCAAGATACCTGATTCAATCGTGCTGCGGCCGTCAAAGGGCCGACGTCACAGTTTGTCAACATGCCACCGCTCTTGTCAGGAGTGTCAGGTTTCGCAAGTTGCTCGCATGTGCTGCAGCGCATTTGGTCTGCAGGTGCAGCAAGGAACGCTGCGAAGGCAGCAGACGACGCACGGGGCACCCAGGGTCTGTGGGTGTCCAGTCGGTCCAGCCTGTAGCTTTGCAAGGCCAATCTTGGGGCAGGCCACCTTGGGAAGATCACTTCATTTGCCTGTCGTTGCCCTTGACTTCAGAATGGCTCCAGCTTGTCACTGCCTCCAGGCTCCTGCCACAAACTTGCTCCCTTTGGCCACAACTTCTGCATGAGACCAGCATGTTGGTGCTCAGATGATCCAGTGACATGCCCACCTGCAAATGTCTCAGTGTAGCACCTGCGAGTGTTTGCCATGGCGTACATTTCATGTGATTTCGATTTTCCCAACGTACACTTCTCCTGTTTTGTTTCACACATGCATGAGCGAAAGTGATAGTCTCACAGGCAAAAGCAGTCTCAGCACACTAGCTTGTCTTGTCTCATCTTACTCTTCCGATGCATCCTCGATAGCCCAGATGGACATGTTCGGCTGATCGGCGCTGGGCGGGTGTAGCACGACTGGATGTGGCGGCCGCATAGTGAATGGACTGGACGGGAGAGCCAAATTAAATGACATGTCAGGGTAACTGCCTCGGCTTCACGGGCATGGGTCTGTTCGTGGGAATAGTTGCAAGTTCTTGTCTTCTTTCTTGGTGGTGTCTGAGCGCTCGCAGACAACACTCAGATGCTTGTGACAGTTCCACGCCGTTCCACGAGCGAGCAGTGATTGCACTTGCGTATTGATTCTTGCGGAAAAGCTCGTACAACAAATTAGACATGCAGGCTGGGTGGACTTCCATGCAGAATTCATAGAAGCATCAACTTCTGCATTTGGCAGCTGATGCATGCGCCGGAGAAAGAACCACTACTCTTGAACACGGGATAGTACGAGTCGAAACCTCTCTTGAGCTGTTCTGAGTTTGCCGCATTCTGAGCTCATTCCTGTACCTTCCCTGCTTTTTCCTGGGTACCCTTTGGTTGCACGGAACGAGGCATGGAGCTGCAAATACACCGGTAAGACACGGGTAAAACGACTGCCGTAGGGTGGCAAGGTCACAGGCCAGGATTGAACTCTCAAGGCAGGTACGGTATAGGTTGGTGAATGCAAGCTCCGTGCAAGCTCCAAGCTCACTCTTTCTCTCTCATGAGGAATCTATTGGAGCCGCCACATGCAGTGCTGTTAGACTTCATTGGACTTGCTGAGGGTCTGATTGACAGACACAGTTGCATTGCGCAGAGCCACCGTGATGCACAGTTTCCTGATGTAAAGGCTCGCTTGTGCCCTGCGAGAGCTTTCTTCTTGAGATTTCTCTAACTGTTTTGAGAAGTTGGGACGTCATCCTCTGCTTTTTTCCAGTGCACAGATGCGGAGCTTTCAACGATCTCTCAGCAAAGCAGGCTGTGCATTGTTTGCGCTCAAGTCCAGTGAGGTACCGCTTATGTTTCTCTACCCATTGCACGTAGCTCGGGATGCGAGGTCATGCACACAGGCTGTGTTATCTCGTATTGATCAGGAAAGCAAGCACAGAAGCGGTGCCTTCTTGACGCCAAGATAGAACATTCGGCGAGCATGTCTTGCCATCAATCGGAAGGCGAAAGTCAAGCATGGCAGCGGGCGAGCGGGTGAAACCTGGCCCTGCCATTTGATCCTTGTTCCTTCCACACCACACGACAAGGAGCAAATGGTTCCGCAACGGGCCCAGCAGCTGTGTTTGAGGCATAACTGTCGTATGATTAATCCAAAAGTCCAATCTTTCTGCAGAGGTTGCCGTTTGCCGGTTTTCAACAAACGGATTCAAATCATACTCCTGCAGGGTGTAGGAGAATCCGCTAAGCAGGCTGTTGAAGCACACCAACAACAGGTTGGATGTCTGGTGAACACTTGCCAGCGGTGCTGAGCCTGGTGCCGTGCTTTGACCATCCGATTGGTATCCGCGCGCAAGCATCTGGTGCGCAAATCTTTTGGACCTGGCGACAGTTGGGCTTCAGCTTGATTGCCGAATCTCGGTACGTAGCCCTTTGAACGAACTTGTCTTGCAACTCTGCACATGGCGCGTAAGGCCACTCGTTGACGTGTTTTTGAAAGAAGATGTTTGAAGGGTCCTGAAGGTTGGGCAACAGTTTCAAGCAACAGATGGGCACGCTGGATTGGAGTGGAGCGGCCGAGTTGCCAATACAGCTGCGAAGCAGGGTGAGAAAGTGTGAGTTTTGGGCGGACGAACGCCTAGACAATGGAAAAGTGTGTTGGGGCAGGCAGTCTATTGAGTCTATTTGCCCAATCAAACTGCCTGTTTGTTTTATCACCTGGTTGGTGGGTGGACACGATTTGTGTAGAGTGGTTGTGTGTGTGTGTGTGTCTGTGTCTGTGTCTGTGTCTGTGTCTGTGTCTGTGTCTGTGTCTGTGTCTGTGTCTGTGTCTGTTTCTGTGTCTGTGTCTGTGTCTGTGTCTGTGTCTGTGTCTGTGTCTGTGTGTGTGTGTGTTTGTTTGTTTGTTTGTTTGTTTGTTTGTTTGTTTGTTTGTTTGTGTTCATGTTTGTTCATAGGCGACAACACACATTCCAGACGCTTTGCTTTTGCGCTTTTGCCAACACCAGTAACATGCAACACTGGAGCCTGTATCCTCGTGGCTCTGAAGGAGGGGTGGGAAGCGACAGCAGATGTGCTGGCCCGTTTCCTACAGAGGGTACCAGCGAGCTTGACAAAAAGCCACGGACTCATTCTTTCTTCATCTACTTGCACGAGAACACACAGATACAGCATTACAGTCTGGTGCACAACACATACTTCCACTGGAATTCCTGGAACCCGCTTGGCATTTTCTGATCTAGCGCCTTCACAAAAGCAAAGCCCCAAAGTCGGAAATTCAGAGCCTCAAAGCAGACGGACCCCTGACGGGCGTTTGTCTTGACGCTCACCGTAGCGTAAGCTCCGGCACCATGGATCCGGAACGCTTGCAGTGGCGAGAGCCTCAGGTCTTTGCGAGAAGGGCTGAATGGGTCGCTGAATGGAAGGACTATCCTTGGGTCCATTGAGTTGGTTGTAATTTGCGGGGTTCTCAAAATGACTTTGGGGTTGCCATTCAACCTCGGAGAGCGCAGTTTTGAGGATGTCACTGAAATGGACCCAGTAACCACTGCCCAATCCAGCAAGCATTTTTCCTTGGCGAGGGTTTTGTTTTGGGGAGCATAAGGACTGCTAGTGGGCGGGGCAGAAGCGAACGCTCAGCATGTTTGGTTTCCTGCAACATCCTTTCGGACGTGACTAACACGGAATGGGTGCCCTCAAGAGCGGGGAAGCCTTGTCTAGATGGTTTTGAAGTGAAACCAAGAGAGAAGCGACCGTTCGAAAGGGTTGTCCTTTACAACCAAAGTCTTTGCCCAATCGCTACCTGAGCCCTCGCGGTGCCTTGTGTTGGACCCTGTTGTGACAAACGGAGGATGAAGGTGTCTCTTCGGGTCCAAGAAACTCCACCCCCAAAACGCGGGCGCCGAAGGTACTATGTGGACCGGACGGGCCAGGAGTTCGGCCCCTTCCGGACGGCGAAGATGCGGCTTGGACAGGTGAAGTGACCGAAGCACCAGGAACCCTTTCGGGCTGAACGCCACAAGCGTTTGGGGCGCCCTGCCCTCTGATCAAGTAGTTGGAGCTTGGAATATACGTCTTGATCTCAAAAAGGAGTTGACCCCCCCCCAAAAAGACATCGCGGAGGCTGCACATAGTTTTTTTCTCATGCTGGGGATGTGGATCCCAAAAATGGGTGGTTCTTGTAGAATTCCAATTCAGGCCAAAAGGGGCAGCCACATTGACGATGGATCCGTGCGGCAAGAATTCGTCTTTGCTTGGTTGCCGCACTTGATTTTGCCCTAATGCTTCCAAACCTAATATATACCATATGTATTACATAGCAAACATAGGCTTCCCAAAGTGTGGAGTTAGCCCCAGGCCACCCGTTGACCGGGGACGACGCTTGTCCCTCGAGCCAGCCGAAAAGCGCCGCTTGAGGCGCTCCTGGTTTTCCCAGGGCTTCTTCCCCATCGGGGACGAGTTGCTGGTGCGCTTGGGCGACTGGCCACCTGAGGCTGGGGGTTCTGTGGAAGGAGGGGGCATGGGAGCACCAAGAAAGATAGAAAAGCCACCTATAGGCTTCAACAGATAGAAAGGCCATGGAAAACCTGGCCACAATTGCGTAGCTACGGTGCAGCCACTATACAGCCACCCCATAGAGACTGTACAGCTGGTTGAAACCATGGTCGAACCATGGCGCGCTTGTCTTAGTTGTTATTCCGAAAGGACGCCCGTGCCATGGGCGCTGAGGTTCTTTTGCTCTTTCCAGTGAGTGCCTTGATATCCTCTGCGGCTTTGTTCGCGCCTTGCGAACAGTGTGGGCTAGCTGACTTCGCCAAAGGTGCCCTGCAGCCATGGAGTTTGGTGCGTGGGTCCTGTTATTTTGGGAACCGCTTTGGGTTGGTTTTGAAGGCAAGCCAGAAGGCGCAAGCCAGAAGAAGGCAACCTAACGTGCGTTCCTTGTTTGGGGTCCCTTGAGTCCCGTTTGAAGGCAACCAGGTTGGCTCGGAGAAATGGCGCATCTTTAGACAGCTCAACTATTCCCCCGCTGGTGGGTTGCTTCCTTTTTCCTTGTGTTGGGGGTGGGTTCCCTGTAAAGTGACCCAAACCCGTAAAGGTTGTCCCTTTTTCAGCTGGAGTTCCACTGGAAGCTGGCTTGGACCCTTGCAGCTCCCCAACTTCACAGCCGTTTGACTGGCACCCGTTGGAAGTCTGCTGCATGTGCTTCAGAGGTGGGGAACGGGAGATGCGTTCAGCGCCACAGCTGGCAGTTCGCTTGGCATCCGATGATAGAAGCCCGCAATTTTGTCGACTTTGCCTGGCCTGAGCCATGCTTTGTCCCACAGATCTCAACTGAATCGGCATCTCAGCTCATGACACTTGGCCCAACGTGACAGAAATGGCAAGAACTGCCCGACCTCGAATTGGATCCCATTTGGTGCTTCGGAATCGCAAAATCGAATCGTCGCCCAGTCCCACGTGCCAGTCCGGAACCTCAGAGCTTCCGACGCCCAACTGGGCTGCGGGATCCCGTGGGGCAAACCCACGGAAAATCGCATGGCGATCCCCACCCGATTGAAAATGGAATATGAGGGGGGGGCGTGAGGTAGGTTTTGGAATTTTTCCATTTCATTTGTTTTTCCTGCTTCGCAGACGGGTGCTGTCGCAAAAGTTTGGACCGGCCCACATCGCTGAACACTCCCGTTAGCCGCTTGCCACTTTGGCGGGGTGCTCAGGCCTGCTGTATTTGCCATCAGTTTGACTGGGTGCGGGGGCACCATTTGGGTGAAACCCTGGTAAATGGAACCAAGGACTAAAACCTGCGGTCCCTGGTGGTTTCATTTTGACCCATGCCCATTTGTTGGGACTTATGCCTGAAACATAAGGGTGGGTATGCCGGACGCGGTACCAAAATGGAACCCTGGGAAGTGGAAACTTGGACCAAAACCTGCGTGACCCCTCCTGTTTGATTTTGAGCCACCTGGGTTTGGGGGCAAGCACGCTGCGGGCATTGAGGTGAAGCTGCTCTACCCAGAGCCAGACAGCATTTTCGTGGGTGGACCCCAGTCCCCCTTTAATGCCGCTCGGTTGCAGACTGGAAGCAAGGTTGGGGGCAGCTTTTGGACGGGCCGACTGGCCTGGTTGTTGGCAGCTGGAAGAAGCGAAGTGTTCGCTTTTTTTCAAAGGGGGGTGGGGGGTGGGGGGTGGGGTAGGCATTCCCCGTCACAGTACCCGTCATGCCTCCGAGATCACTGTGGGATTGAAGCTGTGCTGACGGCTGAGCGACCGAGCGTCAGGTGTTCATCGGGGTATGATACATGCATTTTGTGGACGGGGCTAAGCTCGTCCCAAATTTTTGCCAATCGGAGTGAAGCAACCGCTCAAACACGCGGCTGCAAACGTGACGCCCAGGCGCGGCCCCGGCGTAGCCGCTCCCGCAGCCGTCGGCGGCCGCGGGAGCTTCCGCGGGAGCCGCGGGAGCCGCGGGAGGCGCGGGAGGCGCGGGAGGCCAGATCGGGTGGGGTGGAGTTTGGGGGATTTGTGGGGTTTGGGTTTTTATATGCATTGGGCTTTGGTGTGGGGGTTTGGTTTGGGTTTGGTTTGGGGAGTGGGTGTGAGGGTTTTGGAAGAATCTGGTTCTTTTTCATGGGGTTGGCCGGCCTATTGGCACATGGCGTGTCTTCAAAGGGAGATTGGATGAAGGGGAAGCCTCAAACAAGACCATCAGGTTGTGACCTATGGACCTTGGAGGCCGCGGCACGTCAAGACTGTGTCCTCTTGCTGTTCCTGAAACAAACAGAGAGTCAAATCCCAATCCTCTTTTGCCAGACTCACCCGCTAGAAACAACTCAAGAATACGTACCGCCTTTTGGTTTTGAAAGAGAAACCGAAAGGGAGCCAACCATTTTACGGGGCGGATTCCATTAAAAAAAAACAAAAAAAAACATAAGCACCCATGTTGGTGCAGTGCGATTTCAGCCCACAGGAGCCTCCACGACCCATGCGGCCCCCACCGCGCATGGAGGAATGGGGGAGAAATGGGAGCTTCGGTCACATCCAGTCCGAGGTGGGGCAAAAGCTGCTTAAGCAACCAACTCCTGGTCCCCTTAGAAGGGAGGTTTTTAAGCAGGGCTTGGCCCAACGCAGCCAGTAGGGACAAGGTTTGGGTCTTAGGTTGTCGAGGAAGACGGTCCATTGTTGACAAGCCCCCACCCAACCCTGTTTTCTTTCCAGGACTATCCTCCTGAATATGATCGACCGCCGCCGCCGGGCTACGGCCCCTACGGCTACCCGCCCTATGGTCCCTCTAGCTACGGCCCGCCTGGCTACGGCCCCCCACCGGGCTATGGCCCACCTGGCCCGCCTGGCCCGCCTGGCCCGCCCCCCCCGCCCGGGTACGGCCCCCCTCCGACCTACGGCCCGGGCTATGCGCCCTTCGGCTACGGGCCCCCGGGCTACGGGCCCCCGCCGCCGGGCTACGGGCCGCCCGGCGCGCCGGGCATGGCGCCGGGGTATGGCCCTCCAGGGGTGCGCAGGGCATGTTTGGAACAATAGCGACTGCACCGGCCATACCTGTTTCGCGTTCCTAAGAAGCGAATTGCCAGCAGCGCTTGAGCAGGTTAGCAGCCTCCGACACTAAATCCATCCCCACTCCAACCCTACTAACCAACCAAATCAATCATACATTAGGAATTTGCATTTGTTCGACACCCTGCACCCCCAGCCGCAGTCAAGCATGCTGCAAGTCCTAGCAATCAATGCCATTCCGCGCCTTCAGGATGCCATGCCAGGACCATCTTGGGAACCGCCAACCGCCACACTTTGGCCATGAAATGCTTGGAGCAGCCTCTTCTGATTCTGCACTAAAAATATGGAATCCCATTTTGGGGTAGGTGCACCACCCATGTTAGTCTATTTTAGTGGGGATTGGGATGTTCACTGGGGTACGATTTGGGTTTTGACCCATGGCCATATTCTTGCAGAAAGTAATAGAAAAGGCACCAACCGGAATTCAGGACAGACTACTCGAGACTCGTCCCTGGGATTGTTTCAGTGTCCGAAGTTTTTTGATCGCCAGGGCGGCCCCCAGGGCCGGCACAAGGGGAAGCTCAAGTCCTTCAACCCCAAGTCTGGGAGCCCGGGCCGAATGCTCGCACCGGCCGGATTGACTGAGTCGGGCAAGGGGGTTTCTGGTTTCTGAGCATCTTGTAGCAAGCAACAGCACCTTGCAGCCAGCAACTTGCTGTATTTTGCAGTAACTTGTGGCAAGGTTTAGGTGCGGCAACTTGGAGGCACTTCCAGCATTTACAACAACTTACAATGCACCTGGCAGCAACTTGCAGCGCAGTGGCTCGATTTCCGTCGCCGGCCCAGGCACGGCTTCGGTTTCGTGGACTGCCCCGAGGTCCCGGAGCCAGGGCAGTGGGGAACTGGATGACTCCAAGCCCTGCTGGTTTGCAGACATTTTCCACTTGGTTTCTTGTTATGAGCGAGCATGTGGCCCTTGCTTTTCCTTCCGTTGTGCTTTTTGCAGCGGAATCTCGAGCTTGACAAGGCATTGTCGTGCTATGGTTCGGTTACCAGATCACCAAGGATAGTGCGCACATGGGTTTTTCACACAAGCCTCACCGGCCCGACATGAACAAATCATCGCCCTAAGCAGTGGTTATGTCAGTATCTATCACTGGTAGCGGAACCAGGCAGGCTGCTTGTCACGAGGTGCGGCATCGCTTCAGCAGAGATGTTTTCGTCCACAAGGCGCGCCTGCGCCTACGAGAAAGCATGGAAAAGGGGTAAGTACCAAGTGCGCACCAGGCGGCCATGGTGAATTGAGAAATGTCATGCTTCGGTCGCTCACAGCAGGGTCCGAGGTAAGCTGGCAGGCGTGTTTGTAGTGCTTTGTGAGCTCTGGACAACTACTTCACAGCGGCACCCTTGCAATGCTGAGATGATTTCAGCGACCCTACCAATATTCAATACTAGCACCACTAATTCGAATGGCACAACATGTTCTTTGAAGCGGGGTTCCGGTTACTGTGTGTGTGTGTGTGGGTGTGTGTCTGCTGCAAAGTCCCTCCCCCTGTGCAAAGACAAAGGGGAAGTGATGCAGCCTTTCAAAGCAGCGTGCACCCGTGCATATTCTACTGGACGGAATTTCCATTTAAGAGCCTTGGGGCCTCACACAATGGCTTTCTGAAAAGCAAAGGCTGCGGGCACAGAGAATCGTCAAGCTACAATCAATACCTGGGTAGAGGAAGCTGCATAGTTGACAAGCCCCACCCACAAAGCTAACTGATCATCATGGTTTTGGGGTAGACACCTTTGATAGGCGTCGATAGTTCTATTGCCCCGTGTGCCTCACGCAAGGCCCAGATTGGCGACTTGGAAGTTGGCCCGGTGGCCTAATGTGCTTTGACACTCTGACAGGAGGCACAGAAGGTCGTCCTTGCGCCCCTCGGGCTGGATGTTTCAACAGGTTTTTCCACGTGGCCTGTTAGCGATTGAACACGGGCTTCCATCAGAGGGAACGCATATGTGCTCAACCCAAGAGGTGGTTCGTAGCATTCAGCAGATGATGAACCAGATCGAGGAACGAATAGCGTGGGTGGCAGATTGCCGGATGTGCTGGTCCTTTGCCAGGCTTTCGTTTGCAATCAGTGCCACTGGGCAATCACCCGAGCCAAAAAGCGTCACGCGCCAGTCAGACGCCCACAGTAGCTGAGGCACGGCATTGGACCGGGTGTCCAGCAGGTCCCCAATTGGAATTAGTGGATTCATGGCTTGGTGGCTCTTTCTTCCATGGGTGTGGCCAAGGTGAGGAGCTGAGTTTTCTGGTGGACACCAACAAGGAGCGATCGCCCGCTTCCGGCACGGGAATCGCGTGCTCAGAGGGGCAGACGTGTGCTGGTTGACCGATTGCCTGATCCCACCCGAGACACTGTTCGGTGTAGAGGGCGGAAGGCCATGAAACATGCACGTCTACACGCACATGAGCTGACGATACTATTGGGAGTCTACAGATAGCTTGCGGAGACCACCCCCTTTGTCCTATGTCTGGAAACAAAAACACTTTGACCAAGTTTGTCATGGGCGCTTGGGAAACCATGAAAATGAAAGGCTTCCCTTTGCAAAGCCAAAGGGCGCCTTCATGAAGAGGAGGCCCCCACCCCACGGGTGTGCCCTCGAGAAAGGCACAAAGTTCAGCTGGTCACTCGGGCGGGCTGGTCATGGGCAGCCAAGAAGGTTGGTATAAGTTACCTGCTGGATGGGGTTTGCCGGGTTTGCAACCCACATATATCTATACCTATATATATATATATATATGTTATAACTGTAATATTATATACAAACAGAAGTATGAGGAACCAAACAGTGGAGGCCAAGCATAGGATCCTGCAAAAGCTCACCCTTGACGGCCAAGGCGCCCTGCCAGACCTTCGGAGTTGGCTTCCCTTTGGTTTCTTTTTGAAGCAACCCAGCTCTAAGGGCTTTCCCTCCCAGGAGAACCACCTATCCCAGTGCTCTCATTTGGTGCCCGCGAGGACGGCATGCCGCAGGCACGCGACATCCGCCGTGCCGATGGCTCCAAGCTGCTTGGCAGACTCGGGGTAGAGGCGGCTTTCAGGTCGATTCCCCGTTCGTTTGTTTTTTCAGAAAGCTCGCTTGCCATTGCCCATTTGAAGAGGAGGAAGGGCAAGTTGGGGGGGGGGGGTACTCTGAAATTCATTCTGGACACTGTTTGAAGTTGTATCCCTCCATGGGATGCCTTTTCGTCGCCTCTTTTTAGGTACTCCCCCTTGCACACACCCAGTTTTGGACCGGATCCGAGGCCCGGCCCGTCCAGGAAGACGGAGGGAGGCGCCCGGAGATTTTCGGGTGGCCAGGGTGGAGGGCATTCGTTTCTTTGCTGGTCTTTGACCTCAGCCGCTTAGACAACTCGTGGAATTGTCCGTGTTTTTACACAAGGTTGGACGTTTTGCTGGACGTTTTGCTCCGCCAAAAGCCAATGCTTCGGGATATTCTGCGAGGGAAACCAAAGCCAGGGAGGCCCGCTTGGATCCACTGTCGCTTTGATCAAGCAACTGGGCATACTGCACATGGGACACGCGTGCACGGGACTATGGAATGGTGATATCAGCTATCCCTCGTTTTTTTCCTGGTAGACACGAATCCCCGTGGAAGCGATGCCCTCAGCGCCCAGTTCCACTGGTTCCGCATCTTGCGCCAGGCGAAGAAGCGAATGGAGGCCTGACGTTGATCGCTTTGGTTTCTTGAGACCTGGGAAGCGGTTGACTTGACGCCATCGGATCAAATCCAGAAAAAACCAGACCCGGAGGAATCCCTAGGAGCTGATAAACCGGGAGTTGTCCGCTCCTGATTGGTATGGTCCTCCTTTTGATTCATCTGAAGTTGACATTAGGCAGGGAGCACTCCTTCCGAACCCAGGATCCATGAACACTGTGCGGATTAGCATTGAAGATATTGGGAGATTCAGATTTCCCCGTGCGGACGTGAAAGGAATATTTCAGCAACATCTTTGGGCGAGATGCTTTGTCTATGTTGATCATTTGATTTGTTTCCTGAACTCCCAAGTCAAGGCCTCACATCTTTTCCCACCGACGCTCGTTTTTTGAGGCTCCCAGAATATGTTTGAGGCCATCGGAGGTGATTCAGAGGATCCGCTTGTAAAGCAGAGTTTTTTCAAGGAATCCTCGATGCCAATTCCAAGGCATGCCGTCGCTAGGCACCGAGAACGCCAAAAAACGCCGGAGAGGAGGAGGAGGGAAGGCGTGTGGGGCACGGCGGGGAATGGGGGCCTTCACAACGTTCCTGCTTGTGCTTTGGTGGCTGCTCTGGCAATCTTCGGCTGCTTTAGAGGCTTTTGGAGTGAATGCAAAGCTTGCAATACTCCGGGGTCGATGCTAGGTTGGTCTTCCTTTGGCCTCTGCCGTCTCATGTGGGCCAGCTCGATCGCACTCACACTGCGCAAGTGCATCGCAGGGAAATTCAGCGCACTATGTGTATTGCCGTGTTGCCGACCGCCCCCATGATGAGATGAATGCCAAAAAAGTGTTTGAGTACCTCTCTCCATTTTGCATTGTTTCATGCAGTCTCATCTGCTATCTCACCATGCCTGTTTTTTTTTTGGTTAGGGGACTTTACAACAGACCTCACTTGCCCCATCTTCACGTCCTGGACATGGGGCAAGGCCTACATAAACCTTCGCAACCATGTTGCTAGAACCCAGCAGCAATGGGTTTTGAGCACTGCTCATTTGGCTTTCTGGCTGGCAAATACGCGGACAATTTTTTGGCGACTGGAGGCAACTGCGCCTCCAGTTGGGGCCAGATCAGGCAGATAGAAAAGCCCAGCAAGATTGTTGCTGAGAAGCTGAGGCATGTTGCTGGTTTTCATCTTTGGTTGTCTCAAATTTGCCAACGAAAACAGAAAAGCCCTCAGCGTGCTGTTTTTGAAATACCCTCCCGAATGCTGGACAGTCCTGGTGCAGGGAAAGAAGAAGCCAAATGAAGGTCTGGCGCTTGCAGCGGGGTCAGAGGGCGGGGTGCGGCGGGAGGTCCCCCGGTCCGGATTCCTATTGAAATTCAAGCTTTTGCAAGAAAAATGGGACCCCCAAACAGTTTCCCAATTGGGTTTCAACGTCCACCTCAAAGGGAGGAGGCGTTGCTTGCTTTGAATACATCACATCCAGCCGTGGCTGGCTCCTTAGCTTCGTGCGACCATGCTGCTGCCGGCATGCGGCGAGTCTTGAAATCAGACCTTTGCTAAAACTTTTATTCTGTCAATATTTGGCAGCTCGCAAGTTTTTTGCCCGGCTTCAGGCGATGGTGGGAAGGGTGGTGACAAGGCACGGGGGGATGCTAGTGCAGCACACATGAACCTGAGGCTGGGTGAACCAATCAGCCAGCGTGCTTTACTTGCTTTGAAAGGCAGAGTCAGCTTGAAAGTTAACTGAAGCCCGTCCAACAGTTCTACGACTTTACAGCGAGCATGCTCCATAGGCTGAGCTATTGGATGGTTTTGGTTCGCCGACCTGTGAGCCCACATCTACTAGACATTGAAGGGTTCTCCACACGTGAAGCGCCAGCGTTTGATGAATTCAGGAGGCTCAGTTCCATACGTTTGGTGTTCATCATCATGATCACCATCGTCGTCGCCGTCGTCGTCGTTGTCGCCTCCGTTGTAGACAAGATGAAATGGGCCACCCTTGACAAGTTGCAGCGTCCCTCAAGCCATGGCATGTCATGCCATGTCATATGTGGGCAGGATGAAACATTGACAGTCGCCTGGGCCCACATGCTTATTTTCGGGCGTTCTATGCTCAACAACCCACAGGTGGTTCAAGTCCAGTTTCATTTCTGAGCTTCCTGGTCACTGTTGCCTTGCCGAGTTTCTTTGTCAGGACTCTGGCACATGGAAGCATGCCAAGGCTCAGGAAGGAGGAACTGTCAAGTCATAGGTGTTGGTTCAGCTGCATCAGCACGCCTAGAGGCTGAGTTTCTTGCGGTGCTGTTGCCGTAGTCCCGTTTGGATTCCTCCTGTTTGTTGCCAGAGATGGATGCGGTGAATCCTAGCAGCCGCATCATCTCGTGGCACTTGCAGACCCTACCTGTTTTGAGACTTGTCCCATACCTGCTCCAGACATGCCCCAATCGGGTTTCACGGTGGTTGAAGGGGCAGCTGTTCTCTCATGCGCAAATAGAGCACCCGTGCCCGGCCAGTGTCCAGGTCCCGGCGTTGACTGACAAGGACGACAAGGCAAAGGAGTGGGGTTGGGACATACCCGAGATATCCTCATGCAGTTCTAGTGCTGCATCGAATTTGCCTTGCATCCACCTTCACGTGTCCTTCCCAGTCCTGCCTGTAGGTTCGGTGTACAGTTTCTTGGCCATTGCAGGAAACAGTCGAGGGTGAGAAGAAGGAGACAGCAGACGAGCCCGAGCCACCAAGCACGGCGGCTGAAGCTTCAAATGCTGAAAAAGCTGACACAGAGGTGGCCGCGCCTGCAGCTGAAGCTGCCCCGGCAACTGCGCCCGCGCCAGAGACATCCACGGCTGCCGAAGCCGTGGCCCCGGCAGCGGAAACCGTAGCCCCTGCAGAAGCCGCGGCCCCGGCCGCGGCCCCGGCAGAAGCTGCGGCCCCGGAAGCGGCAGCCGCCCCTGCGGAAGTTGCAGCGCCGCCGCAAGCCGCGGCCCCGGTGGAATCCACGGCGCAGGCAGCTGAAGCTGCCGCAGCGGTAGCGCTAGCGGCCCCGGTGGCAGAAGTTGCATCCCCACCAGTGCCAGCGCCAGTGGCACCGGCTCCGGAAGCAGTGCCCGCAAGCACCGAGACGGCGGCAGCTCCAGCAGAGGCTCCCGCGGCTCCCGCGCCGGCAGCGGCTGCCGAGCCTCTTGCGCAAGGCAGCTAAGCTGCTGTTCCAAGCCAGGCCAGGAATTAGTCGTATGAGAGCGACCAACGGGGGCAGTGTGATGCGTGCGACGGCTAGCCAGCGGTTGTACCTGCATCATACCGGTTGCATTCACATGCAAGTAGAATGGATGGGTAGTCTACCTGGCACATGAAGTGGGAAGCTGGGATGTTCAAACAGGCACATACAGTCAAAGATGACCAAAGATGACCAGTCTCGTCCAGGTGACGGGCAAGCCCGTGCCGAAGAGTTTGAGCTCTCCGGCTGAGGTGAGTGCACGAGAGGGCATCCCCATTTAAGTGGCAGTCCAAGGGACCTGTGCGCGAGTTTTGGAGGCCCTCTTCGAAAGGCCCGACGGGCTTAAAGCAGATGTGCCCATTGGACAACGTGAAGCCGCGGGCCTGAAGGGAAACCAGAGGCGCCAACTGCCCTCCAATAGAATATCATTTGATTCGGCAGCCCGCGCGCGTCACGGGTAGGGCCAGATTGGCTGACGCTTCGCTCTGTATAAGTCAGACGGCTGATGGCGTCGATCACTTTCCGGGACTTGGATCTAGTGCGAGACCCAACGTGCTCTTTTTTGCGATCACATGCCGTTTGTTCGTGAGAGTGCCCTTTTCCCTTCTCCCTGGCTTTGGTCACATTGTCACTATTGACATCATTGGCCTTGGATACGTGGCCGAGTGCTTTGCTTGGATCTTCCATTTTCAGGTGCCAGGCGGCCTCAATGGCTGTCAGGCCGTCTGACGCTCCGACGCCGGGCGTATGAGTCGGGCTCGCACCGAATGGAGGGCACACCTGCGCGAGGTGAAGAAGCAGTGGAGAAAGCTGGGCACTCATATGCACATGGCTCAAAATTATACCACCAGGGGACCGCAGGTTTTGGTCCATGTTTCCACTTACCAGGATTCCATTTTGGGTACATATTTTTAATTCTCATCCCAGATGGTCGTGGTTTCCTTTTTGTGGTGTCCCACTACGGATTTCGGATTGGGAAGGCTCCCACTCCATTTTGAAGAACCCACTTGGGGCCTTTGGTATACACAGTTTGTAGCAACACTTACTGACAGAGCAGCTTTACTTGAACGGATATTCATTCCAAGCGCCTCCCGTCAAGGACCATGCGTTCCCAGAGTCAAAGGTTTCATTGAACTTGTTGCCTTTTCCAAGAACATATTCTGAGATTGCAATCTGCCCGGCCATTTGGGACCCACGACCATGGGGGGACTCACTCTGGAGCAGCCTATTTTGATGGCAGATACCCGAACAGGATGAGCAACCGGGTAGACTTAACTTCACTCTGATTGGCAAATGCCTCTCCAGTTGCTGTGGCGGCATCCAAGGATTTGTTGGGTACATTGTATTGGCCCTCGGATTTCTACATTGGACCTATTCCCTGAACAAACAAATCTCGTTGCATGCCAGGCCTCTTGTTCCCCCTCGGGAACTCTGACCAGAGAAGGATGCTTCACAGCCCCATTGCTCTTTGTGGATGGTTGTCAAGCATCGGGGGCGACCCCTCTTGATGATCTCCGCAAAGCATGTGAATTCCTGTTTCTACTTGGCCGCCAAAGGCTTTTATATGCCTGCCAACGGGCTTCAGAACGGCCCGGCTCGGCCCGCGCTTTGAGCGCGCTTGCGCGGAGGCGAACGACGTTGTTGGTTGCTGTGCATTGTGAATGCCGCTGTCTTTGGCGGAAAATGAAGAGACCAACGGAAAGTTGAAAGTGCTCCTCTTTCAGGGTTTCCTTCTGGTTATTTTCAATATTTCTCACATCGTTGTTCCAACATCTCCAGCTGTACTTAGTCAGAGTTGTGGACAACTGCTTTTTGACATGTCAATTCAGAAAGGTCAACTTGCCTTTTTTTGGGGTTGATTTTTCCCGAAAGGGTCAAAAGGCAAGCCCCTTTCTTGAGGATTTGTTGACGTTCTGCTGACAAGTTTCTCTGCACAGGGTATTGGATGTGTTTTGCGTGCCTTACTGTAACTTCCTGGGCTTGGTGACGGACGGATTTGCAACTTGATATGGTGGGGATTGCTTGTCACTGGTGGACAATAAGACACGCAAACACCACCAACCACGGAAGACAGGGCATCGAAGCAATGCGTCGAGCCACGCTAGTAGATCACCAAGTCGCATCAAGGAATAGCCAGATCAAAACACCAAGCAAGGGAAGGGAAGGGAAGGGAAGGGAAGGGAAGGAGGGAAGGAAGGAAGGTACCGACATCAAGGCACGCATTTGTTTGGCCAAATGGCCTGCAAACAGGAATTTCGGGGTTGCGGGTTGCTTTCCAGCCTGCAGCATGTCTGAAGAACGCTTCAGGCCGAACGTGCGTCGCTTTCTGGGGTGGGCTCACAGTCCCATGGATTGTCAGCTCGTGTCCGCAGTTGCCAGGTGCCATTCGGCCAAGCCATGGGAAGGCATACGGACAGGGGACGTGCCAGGGGGGCGGGTGTTCCGCATGGATGCGGCGGGTGAGTGGGATTTCGGAACTCTGGGCGTATCAGCAGTTTGTTTGCGGCTCTGTGCGTCTTTCTCGGGGGTGACTTCCGTGGTTGCAAGTGGAGGTTGTCAGAAATCGGGCCTTCCCTGCTGGATGGCAGTTAAGACAAAAACAAAAACACATGAGGCTGCAATCTCATTTCCCGAATGACGACTCCTGGCCCTCCTCTCCAATCTCAGAAGCCATCGATCAGAACTCCTTCCGCAGCTTTCCAGTGGGCCCTGTGGAGGTTGGTGTGCCATCCGTTCATGAGGTCCTCCCCTCCCCCAAAAAGGAAGCAAGTCACACACGCACACCCACACACACACACCCCCACACACACACACACACACACGGGCGCACTTGTGGTACTTCCAAGAGGAAAGTAGTTGAATGCAGTCGGAATCGTTTTGTCATCTTGCATTGATTCTTTTTTACGAACAGAGACAAGTTGACTTCTGCAACAATTCAGAAAAGTTAAGAGCTCTTTGCAAAGTGGGACACACACACAAACCAAATCCTGCTGAGGAACCAAACACCCAGCTCCCAATGGGCCCATATCTCTTTAGGCGGGGGCAGATCTCCATTGACCGCATCGTGGCGCTGCGGTCCTCGGTGCTGCCGAGCCTTGGAACGCGAACGGAAGATGCGGCAGGGAGTTTCGGGGGGGTGTGGCGGGGGGGGGGGGAAGCGAAGGGGGGGCAGGGGTTGGATGAAATTCAGGGGTGATCAAGTGATCAAGCGAAAAATGAAGCCTTACCGGAGGGGGGGGATCCTTTGGTGGGTTCCATGTTAAATCCTTTTTAAGCCAGTTTTGTTGCGGGGGCCTCCAAAGCTAGTTGATGTTTTAGGGGCGGCTAAAGATGGAGAGTCGGGGAGTAGGAGTTTCTTGGTGGGCGAGGAGTCGACACCGATGATGATCTTCTGTGAGTTTGTGGCGGTCTGGCCTTCAAAAAGAAACCAAGTCTCCAATGGACAAGGGACTCAAGAATAGGTTTGAAGGGACTGAGGGCATTGCCGGTCCGCAATTCCGTTGGTCAGAAGCGAGCTCCGCAGCTTGGTGCATAACGAGCCTCGGCAGTCCCAGAATCGGCATGATCCTGGCTGAATGGTCATGGTGGGAAGTCTCCGCCAGTCGCGCGTGTAGGTGGTATACAAAGGCTCACTTGCGGTGAAAATCCGTGGCAAGAAGATGGCATGGGTGTCGCGCCCAGGATCTACGTCATCGTCAGTGCTCGCCTCGGACGTGCCGTCTAAAGCATCGTTAGCCATCAGAGCCTCAGCAGATGACGGTTGGTAGGGGATAGTCCCAACCAGAAGCAATCCGCTGACCTCTTGGCATGGTTTGGAACGCCTCCTGTAATACCAGGTTTTGAGCATGTTGCAAGGCCTCCAGAGGCTTTCGCTCTTTGCATTTTTTTATCACCTGAGGGCCAGAAGGAGTCACTACAGCAGATGAGGCGCGGGGCAGATGGGTGTGGCAAAAGGGGGGCGGCTGATGACTTGCCTCCTGCTCGGGTGGCAGTGGTTTTGGCTGAACATTCCCTCGATCGCATCTCTTGCAAGCCCTAAGCGTTGGCCCGAGGGCTGCCTGCGCGATTGGGACCGTCTTTTTGGTTCCTCCAGTGCCGCCCGCGAAGCATGTTGGCCACTTGTGTTGGCAAAGTAGCTCTTCTTCTCTTCGTAGGCACGCTCTTTGAATTTCAATTGGGAGCTCCTTGGTGCCACGTGGTTGCAATGTGCAGCACCGTTTGCGTTTCAAGTGCAGAGACAGCCGGTTTTTGGAAGCCACACTAAGGCCAACTTTTGAATCCCTCCCCCCCGGCCCCTGCTCAACCAACAGGTTTCAACGCAATCCATCACGACCAGAAGACGAGCTCGGGTCTGCATGCCAGGTGTCAGAAGATGGGAACGACTTTCTCACCACCAGGATGCCAGGGACTTTGGCGGAAGCCGTGAGATCAGTTTCAACATGCAGTTGCCGCCAGGATTCAACGTTCCAGCTTAAGGGAGAGCGAGGCTTGTCATGTTACAGGTAGACGCAGGAGCCTGAACTTGAACTGTGAAAGATTGACTGAAGCAACACCGGCAGGCTGTCAAAGGACAGCCACCGGCCTTTTTCCACTTTTGCAGGCCAGGTTGGATGTTGTTCTGTTTCTCGGACTCGTTTTCATGCCTCAGGTTCGGCGACCAGATTGCCTTTCAGTCGATCCGCCCGGAATCTCGAAGACAAATGACGGGTGACGAGTGGCGTGCAGCTTTGAACCTTCCTTTCCGCCCTGACATGGATTGCGGTGTGTTTGTGTGTGTGTGTGTGTGTGTCTGCTTAGTGGGCCCCAAAATGGTGATTTGCCTTTTGGGTTCTCTTCAAAGTCATCCCAAAGGGTTCCCTTAAACGACATAACCCCATTGAGCACTGAGAAAGGGGCGGTAGGAATCAACAAATGTTTGTCTCGTGAACAAGACTCTGACTGACTCATTCCGCGACCCGCGCTAGCCGGGGCATACTGTAGAGATGCAAGCACATTGAGCTTTTCAAGATTCTTTTGAGTCCAGTGGCTGGTGAGGCTTGGACTCTGGAATGACCAGGGCATGGGCAATTTGTAATGCAATTCCATCCGCGTGCCTATCAATTTGACAGCCAGGCGAATCCTCTTCGAGCCATGCCAAGTGTTCTTGTCATCAAGCCGGATTCTTCTAAGCCATGCTTTGTTTCTCCTGCCATGCGGGCGTGTTTCGTTCGACAGAGCCGCGGAGAGGCCGTATAGGTGGAGAGGATGATTGCTAGTCCAACTATTCTCAAGCTGGTTAGCATTATTTTTTTGCACCTTGTGCCTCGCTCCTTGCATGTACCTCCCTCGCCTCTTACGGCCAGGAAGTTTAGTGGTAAACACCAGCAAAACTGGTTGTGGAAACATCATCCAGTGGTCAGGTACATGATGTCCGCCAACGGGTGCCCCAATTGAATGTCATACACTCAAGTCCCGGTTTTCCAATGCGCGCCGGTGTGTGTGTGTGTGTGCTTGTGTGTGTGCCTGTGTGTCTGTGTGCCTGTGTGCCTGTGTGCGTGCCTGTGTGTGTGTGTGCCGGTGTGTGTGCGTGTGTGTGCGCCTGTGTGTGTGTGTGCCTGTGTGTGTGTGTGCCTGTGTGTGTGTGTGTGCCAGTGTGTGTGTGTGCCTGTGTGCGTGCCTGTGTGTGTGTGTGTGTGCGCCTGTGTGTGTGTGTGTGTGCCGGTGTGTGTGTGTGCCTGTGTTTGTGTGCCTGTGTGTGTGTGTGCCTGTGTTTGTGTGCCTGTGTGTGTGCCTGTGCGTGTGTGTGCCTGTGTGTGTGTGTGCGCCTGTGTGTGTGTGTGTGCCTGTGTGTGTGTGCGCCTGTGTGTGTGTGCTTTGTGTGTGTGTGTGTGCCTGTGTGTGTGTGCCTGTGTGTGTGTGTGTGTGCGTGCCTGTGTGTGTGTGTGTGTGCCAGTGCGTGTGTGTGCCTGTGTGTGTGTGCCTGTGTGTGTGTGCTTTGTGTGTGTGTGTGTGCCTGTGTGTGTGTGTGTGCCTGTGTGTGTGTACGCCTGTGTGTGTGTGTGAGTGTGTGTGCGTGCCTGTGCGTGTGTGTGTGTGTGTGTGCCTGCGCGTGTGTGTGCCTGTGTGTGTGTGCCTGTGTGTGTGTGCTTTGTGTGTGTGTGTGCCTGTGTGTGTGTGCGCCTCTGTGTGTGTGTGCTGTGTGTGTGTGTGTGCCTGTGTGTGTGTGTGCGCCTGTGTGTGTGTGTGTGTGCCTGTGTGTGTGTGTGTGCGCCTGTGTGTGTGTGCTTTGTGTGTGTGTGTGCCTGTGTGTGTGTGCCTGTGTGTGTGTGTGCTTGTGTGTGTGTGTGTGCCTGTGTGTGTGAGTGTGTGTGCGTGCCTGTGTGTGTGTGTGTGCCTGTGCGTGTGTGTGCCTGTGTGTGTGTGTGTGCCTGTGTGTGTGTGTGCTTTGTGTGTGTGTGTGCCTGTGTGTGTGTGTGTGCCTGTGTGTGTGTGGTGTGTGTGTGTGGTGTGTGTGTGCTTTGTGTGTGTGTGTGTGCCTGTGTGTGTGTGCCTGTGTGTGTGCTCTGTGTGTGTGTGTGCGTGCCTGTGTGTGCCTGTGTGTGCCTGTGTGTGTGTGTGTGCCTGTGTGTGTGTGTGTGCACCAGAGAGAATCACCATTTTTTTGTGTAAGGGTACCCTCTTCAGGCAAGTTTCAAGGGAGAACCCAACTGGGAGCCTCCTTGGCCATGGTCAGGCGGCGACTACCTCAGTGCCGAGGGCGGCGAGGCGGGGTGCCGGGTTCGCTTCCCGTCGGACAGGGGTTCTTATCTTGACTGCTATTGGGTTGGATCTTTAGACTTCAACGTTTTGGGAAATAAAGGTTATTTTCACTAAACCCCCAAGAAGTTGAACTTTTTGCAGGGGGTCAAGAGCAACCAAGTTATGTTTTTAGCCAGCTGAAGCTGAACCTCCCGGATCAAAGCAGAGAAGAACCCGAGGTTTCCTTTTGTTTAGTTTTGCAGCAGTAGTGCCAATATGTGGAAGTTGATCAGAAGGTCCCTACATGCGACCAAACATATTTTCCCACTAAATAGGTCATTTGAGGGCCAGGAGTATTGATTAACCGCCATGTGTCGAAGCAGCAAGCAACCGATGTATTCTTCCCCACTTGCAGCTCAGGCAGCAAACATGTTGGGATGGCCACCAACAATCACAATGTATGGATGGGAGGATATCCCCAATTCCCGGGCGCCTCCAACCATGACATGCAAAGGCGTGTGAAACGACAAGGAGGAACACAAACGAAACAGTCAACAAGTAGCAGCAATCTTACTCTTCTCTATACAAGCCCGTGTTTTGTTTTGTTGCTGGAAGGTGAGTCCAAATGAGCCACAATCAAAACCCGGGTAGATGAAGGTTAGCAAGGGGCAGTCCCAGCCGGAAATAGTTGCGGGAATCCGCCTTTTCAGTTCCTTGCATGGTTCTGGGTTCACCATTTTTGTACCGATCGGTTTTGATTATGACGCAAATGGAGGATGGGGTGAAGGCTTAGGTCTTTCAGCCCTGTCGTCTCTCAGATCTGCACGCGGCGCTATTGTAGCAACAACGAGCGCTTCACGGTGGAGAAGCAGGACGGGTTCAAACCCATGTTTGTAGCATCCGTGAGGAATCCATTTGCTAGAGCTGTTTTAGGGTCAATGGACAGATCCCATGAATTGGTCGGTTTTCGGTGTGCCAGGCGATTTGTTCAGGGCGGAAGTTCAACCCATGTTTGGTAGATCGCTGGAAATGTCGCCTGTTAAGCCCTTTGGAAGATGTGGCGGTTGGTTCCCACTTCGCAGTTGCATTTTCCGGAAGTTTGGACCTGAGGGTGGCGAATGGACGAGTCCCTTGTCATGCCCCTTTGGTTTGGTCATCCCCGTTGCTTCCCCAAAAATCTTTGGGAGCTGTGCCATCAACTGTCAGCCCGGTGGGTCCAGAGCCCAAGCCCCCTGGACATCTCCTGGGAATGCCTTCCGGTTTCAGCATGGCTTGAGTCAGGCAGGCACCATTTGCCGGAAGTCGGGAAGGTGTCAAAACGTGACCCAGCATGGTTGTCCTTTTGTCTTCCTCTTGAACCAACCTGAAAAAGGGTAGCCTCAAAAACACCAGCCCATTTACGAATGAATTTGGTGCCTTTGTGTGTGAGAGAGGCCAACTTTTTGGGGGCATGGGTTGGTGGCTAGCAACGGAGAGCTTGCTCACAAACATAGCCGAACACGTACCAAAGGACCTCACCCAAATCTATGTAGGTGGATTCCCGCACCGATTTGTTCGGCAGGACTGCCCCCTGCTAGTACAATCTATGCTTGCTCCCATTTGTTCCATTCGTTGCATGTATTTCACGTATGGCAGTTTTTTGTCCCATCCACGTTGATCTTCCCTGCGTCTGGGCCAACCTCAACCCTCGTCCACGAGGGAGGCTCTCGGGGTTCGTGTCCGCGAGGACACGCAGTACGCCTTTCGGTCCCACTGCGGCCGGTACCTGGGCGTCAGCGACCGGCCGCCCTACGTGACCCTGGCGCCACGGCATGAGAGGAAGTTCGGAAGTTCGAAAGGACACCACGCATTTGGGTTTTGGGCTTGACTGGGAGTTGGACCCCAAAGAGAGCAAAGAAAGGTCTCGAAAAGAATGATTTGGGACTTGGACCCAAAGACGAGAGGTGTGCTGCGGTTTCATTTCAAAGCACCCCCACGAGGGGTGCCAAACATGGTACCCTCAGGGTCACCAGGCTGACTGTAACTCAGCAAGCTCTTGAAGAAGCATGGCTTCATCCGTTCTGAACCTGGGCATGCAGAGTGGGTGATGGGAGCCCGCATCTTCACAAGAAAGCCAAAGTGGAACGCGCCTTGAATAAGGTAGACATAGGTAGACCACACCAGGGGTGCATGTTAGAATCGGGCGACCCCCAAATGGTGTTGTTTGTCGCTCTTTTCCCTTCAATGGTCTTCTCTCAGAGCTGGGACCGAGATTTTTCGCTGTGAGGCGCCCACCCTGGGGGAGACGGAGGCCTTTCAGCTTTTCTCGCTGATGATGTGCGGCGTCAACGCGCGGACGCGCAGCGAGTGGAGGGGATTCCTTGGGGGGGGGGGGAATCCGGGAATCCCCTGAAGGTTACCCTCGCATTCCAGAGGACCCTATAGTCAGAGGACCCCCCGCCAAACAAAAAACTTGGTTGGTTTCCCAAGAGGAACTACCCCTGAGTATGGTCCTCCTTATCAATACCAAGTTGACATTGCATGGGTGGCTTCCTTTGGATTCCGAAATCCACCCCAGAAAGGGTTCCCTCCAAAGAAGACACGGGCAGGAGAGTCCTGTGCTTGGCTGGTGCTGCAAGTGGTGGTGGTACTTTTTGCCGCTGTCAAACGTCCTGGGTACTTGGGGTTGGTGTGGACTGTCATGGACACCCTCAGAAATTTAACCTATTGCCAAGGTGGCATGGGTGTGGCTCCATTGTTGGAGTTGATGCTTGCCCCTGTTCTTTCTTGTCTAACTGGACTTCCAACGGGGAGAAAAGCCCGGCCGGCCAGATGGCTGCATGGCAGTAGACCCTGAGTGAAGAGGAATCGATTCCTTTTGGGGGCTTCTTGTTGGAGTTCCATATATGCAGGGTTCGGCAATGCCGCACTGGACGTGGCTTTGAAACATCAGGTTGCCTGGGTGGATTTCACTGGGAGGACAACTCGGGCTTTGTTTTGGCAGCTGGAGAAACAGTCTGCTTTTGGCCATGACTGTCCTGGGTGATAAACCAGTGGTTTGTTTCCAGTCTTAGAATTTATATGTTTGCCACTGTGCTTCCCAAGGTTGGAGTCCCTTTGCTTTGTGGCGTGTTTGGTATCCAGTTTTGCATTTCAATGCAGACCTCGACAACTAGCCAGGCAGAGGCCGGTGGTCATCCCACGTTCCTCTACAAATAAGGGCACTTGGCGCTCCACGTAGTAGAGCACCTGCGGCTACAAGCATGTCACATGAATGGCTGGTTCTCAGGAACAATCAGCAGGGGTTTGGGGAATCGATTTTTTTCAAGGAAACCACCAGTTGAATGGCTTACAGGGGGGGTCTTTGCTTCCAGTGAGAACCAGCAAGATGAAGAGCTGATGAGCTTTCAAGGTTGGGCAGCAGCTGGAGATGCTGGACAGGCGCTCGTGCTGTGAGCGCACGGGCCATCCAAACAACGCCTGGGCTTTGTAGGGCTGGTCATGGAGCCCTTGGGAATTTAGGTTTCGTTGATCAGACCCTCCCAAAAAACAACGGATACAGAAACGGGTTCTACAAGCATGCACCAAAGAACATGAACCCCTTGGGCGTTTAGATCCTTTGATCACAGGCCCCGGATGTCACGGACAATCCTGCATTTTGCCGCATTCGTAAGCCCGGACCAGATTTGTGATCGAATCCATGGCTGTTCTTCGGGATCCGTGGCCTTTGGGGGGGGTATTTGAAGGGAGCCAAAAGGAAACCGTTGCCCCTTTTTTTGAGGGGCATCTGTAGTAACCTAACCGAGGCTCATATGCAAGACTCCACCTTAAGGTGGCGCTTCTTGAGGTTCGCAATTTCTCCCAGTGAGAAGCCATGCGTACTCGTACACATGTGCTGTTGATTCTAGCACACTTACGTGGTTCTTCGCTGACTCCTTGGTACTCCCATTCTCGGCTCAGCAAGAATGCTTGAGGCAAGGCTGTGGCAATCAACCAAATAACCATACACGAGCGATCTGCACAATTTGGAGCCAACTGGGAAAGAGTTATCTGAAAAAGAGCCATCAGCGTGACCCAGCAACACCAGCGCTTGCGAACTGAGTTCTGACTGCACCGGCGGTTCGTTTTCCTGCACTCGCCATCTCGATGGCCGCTATGCGGCCCGTGCATGCGCCTGGACATATGTGATGGGCTCAGAGTGCAATGTTGATTCAACCCTAAGGTCCAGTCATTTCAGGCATCAAGGATGATAGCTCCTCATGCTATTAACAAAGAATCATTCTTAGGCTGCAGCTCTCCTTGCCATGGCTTCAACCCTCATGACCTTGGGCCCAAGGAGCGCTCTGGGAGGGGGGAGGTGAGTTGGTCTCATTTGGTGACCTCCGACCGGCAAGCCCTTCATTCATCATTCACGTCTCATGTTTGTCTAACGAGACGTGCAGCGCGAGTGTGAAGCACCGAGGTGGCTGCACGGGATGGCAGGCAGGGGCATGAGGCTTCCCAAGCTGCTCACCAAAAGTGAAGGGCACTGTGCCAACCATACGTAGGCGCGGCCGCCGATTCAAGGTACCGCCTGAACGCCAACATTTGAGTACACGTGACTCCATGGATGTTTCGAGCTAGTCATGCTTGTGTCTTTGTTGCTTTTGCAGGACAAACAATCAGCTGTTCTTTCGTTGCCCAATTTTTTGGATTTCGGGGGTGTGATCTGAATGCAGATACACACGGCTGGACTCTCGACCGCAACACTCGAAGGCTTCAGGGGCTGTCTGAAAATGCGAACTCTGCGTATTTCTGAAAGCTTGTAAAGTGAAGCTTGTAAACAAATCACTGCAGGGCCCTCCCGCGAGGTGTGCTCGCCGGTGTCTTGGTCTTGGCCCGCAGCGAGGAGGTGGGGCTCCATTTGGGCTGTCAAAACTGTTGGTCTGTTGGCGGCCGGACTGAAACAACCACCCTCCCTGGGGTTTCGTGTGTCTCTTTAATATTAGGGGGGTTGACAGACCTAGCGCTGACACCATTGGCAGGGCTTTCGTTGGTTTGGGGAGACGAGAAGGGGCCCACCCAAATTTCAACCGCAAAGGTCAGGGGTTCAGACCACACAAACTCCTATGTCTTCCTGCGGAACGACTCATATTGCCCTGCTAGGTCATTGGGTGACAGGTTTGGCCGATGAGTTTTAGCTGTTTAGAGGCTCACTCGCTTTTGGTCTCGTGGTTCATTCCAAAGAAGTGTGCCCAGCTTTCTTGGGCTGGATTTTACTTCCGGCTGGTGTGCAGCATCCAGGTGGCTGCAGTTGGACGGATCGGGACAGAGGGCCTTCTTGAAACTTGCCAAGGACAGGAGGTTGTATCATGTGGTATCCTTATCCCCTCATAGGTCAAGGTTTGAGATCCCAAGCAGAAAGCGATATGCAATGCCAAATGTAGAGGGTGTTGGACGATGGGCCTACGAATGCTGAACTGTGGTAAGCCCCTGAAGGCAATGTTTCTGGCCCATGTTCCTCCCAGGCAATCCCTGCTGTGTGACCATCACGCCACCCAAGCAATAGCCCCCCTTCGGAAAGGCGCTGTGTTTGTTTGGAGGGTACCCTTGTCTCAAACCAGCGGGAGAACCGAGACAATTTTGGGGTTCGTCTCCCAGTATATAGAAGGGTGAACATGAAACAAACAAAAACAACGAAAACAAATGTGACCAGTGTCCAGAACCCTATGTTGACACACACACACGCACGCACACAAACGGACCAAGTAGGAGAAGCGTGTTTCATGGGGACGTATGTCGGTTTTGCAGAGAGCCAGGCCAGCGCTGAGACCACCTCTGAACCCTTCGACTGTGATGCAGGCACGAAGCACCTCGGCAGATGCACCCCGAAAACCACATTCCTCAGCGGAGGTCCTGGAGAGCCCTTCAAAATTTGGCACTTTCCCTGAAAGTTTGCTTT